ACCAGGGCATAAATCCTGTTAGTTCCTGGCTCCTCCTAAGGTTATTTACTGTAAGCCTGTGTGTGCGGAGGCTGATGTGCCCAGAGGGGACCTTGTGGCCAGTGACAAAGTGGCTGGACCTCTGTCTGTGGGAGGACATTGGATCAGCAGGAAGCTGGCCAAAGAGGGTGCCCCCCTAGACAGCATTTCCTTCTGTTGAGTACCTGTCAGCAGGGGCAGGTTTGTGGATGTTGATTCAATTTAAGGGGCTTCTGTAAGAAAACAATATAAAATTTCCCATTCAAAACTGGGTTTGATTGTGAATAATCTTCTAGAGTGTTTAACATTTAACAACAAATTAAAATGCCAATGAATACAAAATACAACTGAGGGACTTCACTGTCAGCATATCTCCCAGCCAAAGGAGGTCTCAGGTGAGCCACGGGACCCTGAGTTTAAGCTTCATCAGTTTCCAGGTAGATCTGCTTCCAGGTAGATCACTCTGACCATCATCTAAGTCACTGGGAGTCTCTGATCCTTTATTGCAAGCACCACCTTCTGGTATTTGGCCCGATCCACCAAAACTGGAGAGGGGATAGTGTTAGGGAGGGCCCTGCTCTCCAGTTAGGTAGAGCATCCAGGGTGAAAGGGAGCTAACGGCGGGATTACTAACAGGACCCTACGTGTCGAGTGGCTGAGACTCAAGTAGTAACATTTCAGGCACTGAGTTGAGCTGGACAAGACGTGTAATTTTGGAGATGCGGGACAGACGTCCGAGGCGCCCACGTGTTGTTCCCCCCGGTGTCCGCGGCAAGAAGTCCGAGGCGTCCCTTCTCAGAGGATGACAGGAGCCTGACTCTCCCCTTCGTGGTCGCGGGTGGGGGTGGGGGGGTGGACCACAGGGTGGGGTTCGGGGGAGACAAACACTTCTGAAGCCCCTTCTTCTGAGGCGCCGGGCGGCAGGCGCGCCACCTGCTGGCCCCGGGAGCGCGGGGGCCGCGCGGTCTGGCTGCGCCACCTGGTGGCCACTCGGGGAAGGACTCAGCTTGGGGTCTGGAGGTGGCAGGTGAGCGGTAAGGGGTGGCTGCTCTCCTTGGCATTAGTGCACCGAAGCTCTGCCCAGAGTTCTCCTGTCTGTGGTAGACACGGCGACGTATGGGTTGGAGGAGCCAAAGAACAATGATAATGAAAAGACACAATCGTTTTCCTCGGGGAGAGGACCTAGTTACAATCCTGTCACAGAGGAAGGGGTTAACGGTGGGTGCTGGGGCAGCACGGGGTAGACCAGAAGTCAGGGGACACCTACCCAGAGGAGGGGACGTGTGGGCTGGGACAGGAACCTAAGTCTTCATCAGTCCTAGAAGGAGAAGGGCATTCAGGTGAGAGAGCAGCTAGTGCGTGGTTCTCAGCTCTTAACCACACGCTGGGATCACTTGGGGAACTTTTAAAAAGCCCGAGTGGCACCTCGGCCAATGACTTCTGAATCTCAAGGGGAGGGACACGGGCAGACACGTGAATTCTCTGACCCCCCAGGTGTCCGTGTTGTGAAATGGAATCAGTTCAGATCAGTCGCTCCATCGTGTCTGACTCTTTGCGACCCCATGGACCGCAGCACGCCAGGCTTCCCTATCAATCACTATCTCCCAGCGCTTGCTCAAACTCATGTCCATCGAGTCAGTGATGCCATCCAACCATCTCAGCCTCTGTCATCCCCTTCTCCTGCCCTCAATCTTTCCCAGCATCAGGGTCTTTTCCAATGAGTCAGCTCTTCACATCAGGTGGCCAAAGTATTGGGAGTTTCAGTTTCAACATCAGTCCTTCCAATGAACACCCAGGACTGATCTCCTTTAGGATGGACTGGTTGGATCTCCTTGCAGTCCAAGGGACTCTCAAGAGTCTTCTCCAACACCAAAGTTCAAAAGCATCAATGCTTCAGCACTCAGCTTTCTTTATAGTCCAACTCTCACATCCATACATGACTGGAATATTATGAAATGGAATATCTCCTGCCATATCAATAAACAAGGATGTCACAGCTATCTGTCATTCTAGCCCTCTAATTTCAGGTTGTGACTCTATTATTTTTCAGTCAACAGAGTATAGGCAAAGTTGAGAACCACCAAGAAAAGTCTTGGAGGAAAGAATTTCTATTTTCTCAGAACCACAGAACACCCACTAGCAAATGAAATATGCAAATCTTTAATTTGTGTAAAACTTACCCCTGACAAACTCTGTTTGCATTTGAACAGGACTCTCCTTACAAAGGGAGGGACTGAGCAATTCAATAGAAGTGGAAGTGTGGAAGTGTGGAAGTGTTAGCCACTCGGTCATGTCTGACTCTTTGCAACTCCATGGACTATAGACCTCTAGGATCCTCTGTCCATGGAGAGATTGAATATCACCAGTAATTACTTCCACATTTCTGAGAATATGCCTGATTATCTTTGGAATCCTCTCTGATCCTGGAAAACAGCAAGCACTCAATGAATGTTTGCTGAACTGGGCTTTGAATCCAATCATGTGCTCTCATGTGAGTGGCTGGTCTTGATCACCTTTGGGTTTGAGCAGCTTTGCTGCATAGAAACTGGGCGACTGTGACTTCAAGGATGTGGGGAGACTTCACAAAAACCCTCGTCCCAGTGGCTGCTGCCTGAAATTCCATGTCTTTCAGTGGTTCCGGTTCACACTGTATCAATTCCCTTTCCTGAGGTAGGTCTTAAAGAGTTAAAGGGGCGAAAAGCTGAACAGTGTAACCAAGGACCCTATGGGACCTTCCGGGGACAGACCTCCCCCCGTATCCTCTGCTTCAGCTCCTCTGAAGTACCCAGATAATAGTATTTGATGTACATTTCCTGAGTTGTTTGGCGAATGCAAAAAAAAAAAAAAAAAAAAACCCTCCCCCTCTCCAACAAATGGAAGATGTTAATTACTTGATAACCCTGAGCACCTAGCCCCAGGCCTCCTGAATTCTGGGGACTGATAATGCTAACCCCTGTGACACCACCCTGCCACCATCACCCTGTCACATGAGACACCATCAGCCAGAGTATTGCTCACAAACTGATCACAGACCCTGCGACCCCTCTCACTCACCTGGTTTCTAGAAGTTCTTTGCTGAAATCCTTTGGGGAGCTCAGGGCTTTCTAGGGCATTAACGCCCATCTACTTGCATGGCCTTGCAGTAAAGCTTTCTCTGGGCTTCGCTGGTGGCTCAGAGGGTAAGGACTCCACCTGCAATGCAGGAGACCCAGGTTCCATCCCTGAGTCAGGAAAGATCCCCTGGAGAAGGGAATGGCAACCTACTCCAGTATCCTTGCCTGAAGAATCCCATGGACAGAGGACGGTGGTGGGCTCAGTCCACGGGATCGCAAAGAATTGAGGACATGACTAAGCAACTAACACAAACCTGTCACTCTGTGTCTGACACAGAAACTTGCAAATTGTTAACTTGCATTAACAACAGTAGTAGGGTAGAAAAGGAAAGATCCGGAAAGCAAGGCCTGCACCCCCCACTGGGAGCTGACTTCCTTTCACTTCAAACTGGAGCCCACTGGCAGTTTTCACTGGTTCTTGCGACGTTTGTTCTACCTGTGCATTCAGGCGCACAGTCGTGTTCAGCTCTTTGCGACCCCATGGACTGTAGCCCACTAGGCTCCTCCGTCCACGGGATTTCCCAAGCAAGAATACAGGAGTGCGTGGCCATTTCTTCTTCCAGGGGATTTTCCTGACTCAGGGATTTTGTTCTATACCCTGGAGCAAAATTCACTGGTTATCCAATTTAGCCAATCACAGGACACGAGTTGATTTTCCCAAGATTCTCTCGAAGAAGCATTCAGGAAACTTTGCTTCTCTCCAATAAGACACTTCCAATAAGTGACTAGGGAAACAGTGTGGCTTATGTTATTCCACGCAAGAGCCAACCGGCTTTCTATACGGATTTGGTACTTCCTCTCCTGGGCTGGGGCAGAGTCTCAAGAGTCTGAGACAAGGCTTGTCTGCAAATGGCTTATCGAGGGGCGATCTCAAGAGATGTGAGACAGAGAAATGAAGCAGGCTCGATTGCGCTGGGGAACTTGGGGAGACGGTGTTGAACATGCTCCAAAGTTACCCCATGGGAGGGGCAAGAAGCTGGGGCCACACGTCCACCCACTCCCGCCGGTCGTTGGTTCAGGGAGGTGGCCAGGAGTGTTAACCCGTTGGCACTTCTAGCCTGCCCTGCACATGCCTGTGCTTTGGTGGCCAGAGAAAGTCCTCCAGCAAAGGGAGCTGGAGTACCAAGCCACATGCCATGCAGACCTCCCCATTCACATGCCAGTCATTCATGAACAGCTCACATCCACCAGATAAGCACCAGCCCTTTTGTGTACCCACCCATAAACATCAACATGTTTACAAGCCAGCTCACTCAGGAGATGTGATCCTGTGCCGCTTGGGGACAGCCCTAGTCTGCACTGACTCTGGCAATCAGGAAATCTGCCAGGCCCCTGTGAACACAGGTGACAGTTTCTCTTAGTGCCATTGGTGTTTGTTACAAGGGCGGGGATTGGGCTGATCACGCAGTCATTCAAGAAAAGCGGTGGCTCAGACTCGCTCTGCTTCACCAAGGGTAAACGGGGAGCGGCTCAGGGAGGTTTAATTTAGCTGAAAGTACAAATGGCAAAATCAAAGGTAATTTTTTTCCTCTTGTTACAAGAAAACCAGTGACATCTGTAAGGTGGTTTGACCCACATCTGGGGGAGCTTTTGAAAAATGGAGATGGCAATTAATTGGACTTCAGAGGATGGTGACTTTTTTTTTCTAATGTCCTGATAGGAAGGACATTGGCCATATTTCTGCAGGGCCTCAAGACTGTAATCAGATGTCGTGTCGGAATGTGACTCCAAGGTCTCAGGCGACACCAGGTCTAACTAGAGAGCCCCCAAACACAGGATGAGACAACCAGCTTGGCCGGAGGCGTCACCTGAGAGTCAACGGAGCCTTCCTTCTTCAACAAGATGGGAAAACCTGAGTCAGTGGAGCCTTCACTTTTTGACAGGACTGGAAAACCTCCCGTTTGCAAAGAAGAGTATGAGAGTTTTATAGAGGTGAATCAGCCTGTTCTGCACCAGCTTGAAAGCAATGCACACAATCTCCATCCCAATGATGATATAAATGGAGAAGAACAAGAAGAAGTGAGGGTGTTCCAGCATTATGTCCCCAAACCCAATGGTGGTCAGCGTGACGAAGCAGAAGTAGAAGGCGTTTTCGAAGTTCAGCTGCTTCTCCCAGATGGGAAGGACGGCGGCCGCGCAGGAAATGTAGGCGAAGACCACGAGGGCTATGACGGGGAGGGGGACGTCCAGCCTCTCCACCTGCCGCCCCACCTCATCCAGGTTGCTGATGATGGAGCTCGAGAGCCTCCCGGACCCCAGCTCAGGACACGACGTGCTCCTCTCCATGGCCAGAGGGGGCACCTGGAGGGTGCTGTCTTTCTCCCGTGCCAGAAGTCTCTCGAACAGCTCCATGTTGCTGCTTGGGGCCGCGGGGGCAGGTTTGGGGGCCGGGAGCTCCGGGTCGTGGATGACCACGTGCGGGACGGCTTCATCTGCGGGACGGGAGTCCGGTTGTCTTTTGCAGGAGCGTCCGGAGCACCACTTGGGAAGGGGAGCGGGGAGGAAGGGCAGTCTTCGGAATTGATTATAGGATGTGGATAAGATGGTGGCCAGGATGTCGCCTATGTCCGTGAGGACCAGGAACATCAGCGGGATGCCAAAGAGAGCGTAGAGCATGCACAGGTACTTGCCGAGCCTGGTGACGGGGTAGACGTGGCTGTAACCTGAAAAAGAAGACCGAGCCAGGTGGTCGGCGGCTCCTCCCCCTCCCCCGCAAAAAAAAAAAAAAAACTTTAAAGAGACCTTCTGCCGTTTCCTTTCCTTGGCATGACATTTTGCACCACATATTTTTAAAATATTCATCTTAAAACATTCATCAGCTTGTCTGACATTAGGTCTACTTCGGTTGGGGCAGTAGGAGGTGAAACCCAGCTTATCTTTAGGGTAAGGGATGACTCATGTCCTTGGCAGGAGACAAGCCAGCATGTGGGAGTGAGCTGACTGCCTTGCCTTCTGCCATCTCTGAGCGTCTGAAGAGGATGGGCCCAGCACACCTGGAGAGACGGGATGAGCACAGGTGACAGGGTGTGGTGGCTTTGCAAGCAAACCCATCACTTCCGTCATCCTCCACAAAGCGGCAGTTCCTAAGAAGCCATGCCCATCCTTTCTGGGATGTCTGGGCCTCTATATAAGGTTTGTGTCTATATAAGAGGCAATAACGTGCCAGTGGCGTAAGCAGTGCACACAGTACTTGGGATGGCAGGAAGAGGGACAGTGAATAACATACCACTGCTGCCTTCAGAGCCAGCTGTGGTTGAGTGGGTCAGTCGACTGTTCACGAACAACACTGAAGAGCTGAAGACCCCAGCATCTAGAATCCTGCCAGCCTCATTTCCAGTTCCAGCGCTACTATTTACTAGAAAGTGATATAACTGCTCACATTTTCAGGTTTCTTATCTCTAAAGTGGGGAGGACCATCCCTGCTTTGCATACTGACCAGTGGAGGGATTACAAGAGACCAGTGCTTCAACACGCAGTGGGTGTGTCATTCCCAGGCGGTCGATGTCCTCGTTCTAATAATAACAGCTGGCTTTTTGAGCAGTTACTGGGGCCCAGGTATTAACCAGCCTTCACTGGTAGCTATGGTGACCACCATCACAGAGGGGGAAACTGAGGCTCAGAGAAGTGAAGCGACTTAGCCAAGAGCATACGTGTGATAAACTGAAGCTGCGGGTCAGAGGATTGAAACCTGGCCTACAGTAGGTGCTCAATAAATGCCAATCTATTATGCATGCCTGGAAATCCCATCCAGCTCCCGAGCCAGCTCTCTCCACTGGGTCAAGAGCACCAAAGGGGCCAGACACGCCAACCATCAAGGACAGGTGAGCCAAGCAAACAGAGGGCTAGGTTGAAGTCTTCCTTCTCTTCACCAGCTGCCTCCTTCCATCACTCCAGCCTCCTCTCTTGTCGACAGAGGCCCAGGAGCAGAGGGATACCAAATCCCACAGTGCAAGTCGCTGGATCTTCTGGAGTGGGTAAGCTCAGTGCCTTCCACAAAGAGGGAGAAGCTTCTGTATTTAATGCCTGTGTTTAATTTTTGATGTCCTAAAGGATGATTAATGCAGAAAGCCCCAGCCCAACTATGTAAATTAACTGGAAGGCAATTGACAAGCTGGCTAAGCCCCAACCTCCTCCAGGCCCACTGCTTCCTGTGCAAACTCTGGCCTCAGCATCTGTCCTCCAGGCACACATGGGTGGTCAGGCTGCCCATCTTCACTGGGGTCCTGGGGGAGGCCCCTAGCTGGACTCCTCAGTGTGCATCCCTCCCAGGGCACTCCACGCCACCCTCCTGCTTCCACGAGGTACCATATGATGGCAGGAGCAGTGAACTCTACATTACTGTTGATATGGGATCCAATCTCAGTGATCTTCTGGTTTAGTGGAGGAGGCAGATATGAATTAAACAACCACCCCAGTGAGTATGCTTCCCTGATAGCTCAGAAGGTAAAGAATCTGCCTGCAGTGCAGGAGACCTGGGTTCAATCCCTGGGTTAGGAAGATCCCCTCAGGAGGGCATAGCCATCCACTCCATTATTCTTGCCTGGAGAATCCCTATGGACAGAAGGGCTTGGTGGGCTACAGTCCATGGAGTTGCAAAGAGTCAGATGCGCCTGAGCAACTAAGCACAGTGAGTATGCAATTGCACATGGAGATCAGTAACGAGTCATAAAACCACGGCCACCTGATGCAAAGAGCTGACTCACTGGAAAAGACCTAATGGGGGAATGATTGAGGGCAAAAGGAGAAGGGGGGCAGAGGATGAGATGGTTAGAGAGCATCATCAACTCAATGGATATGAATCTGAGCCGACTCCAGGAGACAGTGAAGGACAGGGAGGTCTGTCCTGGCGTGCTGCAGTCCATGGGGTCGCAGAGTCAGACACAACTTAGTGAGTGAAAGTGAGTCACTCAGTCGTGTCCCACTCTGCGACCCCATGAACTATACAGTCCATGGAGTTCTCTAGGCCAGAATACTGAAGTGGGTAGCCTTTCCCTTCTCCAGGGGATCTTCCCAACCCAGGGATTGAACTCAGGTCTCCCGCATTGCAGGTGGATTCTTTACCAGCTGAGCCACAAGGGAAGCCCAAGAAAACTGGAGTGAGTAGCCTATCCCTTCTCCAGCAGATCTTCCCAATCCAGGAATCGAACTGGGCTCTGCTGCATTGCAGGTGGATTCTTTACCAACTGAGCTACCAGGGAAGCCCACGCGAGTGAACAACACATTAGATGGGAACAAAGGCATCCAAGCTGGATTTGCATTTATTGAGGACCTACTCTGTGCCAGGCTTTTGTGGGCAGTATTGAGGGTACAGTGAGGAACAGGCAGAGGTCACGTGCTCCAGGAGCTCCTAGTCGAGAAGAAAGCAAAGCCATGATTTCAGCTCCCTCAGTGCCCAGCGGGACGCAACAGCACCAGGGGCAGGCGCGAGCTCTCCCTGGCTAAACCTGCCATCAGACACCAGGACTGCTCAGCGGGGCCGGACTTGCTGAGGGAGCCCAGCGCCTCCAGTCTCTGCTCCCTGCCGGGCTCCAGCAGCTCAGCCCTCCCCTCGGGGAGAGGAGGTGGCGGAAGGGACCTCAAGACTTCAGTGACAGTGGCCGCCCAGGAGCACCGAGGAGCTGGGGGTGCAGTGGCGTCTCCGGGAGAGGGAGGGGCTGGGCAGCAGGAAGACCAACTGTCCCATGTGCCCAGGACTCAGGGTCTCCTGTTCCGGTAAAACCCTTAAGTGCTAGAGCCAGGGCAGCCTCGGGCACGCCAGGGAGCTGCTCTCTGGAGCCAGGGTGAGTGTGGAGGGGGCAGAGAGATTCTCCAGGGCAGGGAAGAGGAGAAAGGAGGGCGCCCAGAGCCCCTCGCGGGGACAGGAGTTCAGAGAGGCCACGGATGGAGTCTTGGAGGGGTCCAGGCCCGGGCGTCAGCAAAGGTTCCCGTGCCCGAGCTTGTTACAGGCCCCTCAGGGCCAGCAGTCCTTAAAAGATGTCAGCAGTGGGGCCCGGAAGCAGGGAGTCATCCCGTCTTCCAGATGTTGCATAAGTCCCCAGCTTTCGTGCACGCATAGGAAAATCAGGAAAAGCTCCCAGTGGAAGCCCCCCAGCCTCCAGGATGGGGTCCTAAGGTGAGATCTATGTAAAGAAAATAATATCACATTTCTTACCAGATTTATGGAGTAAAATGCCTTTTAGAGTCAGACTTCCCTGCATAGCAGAACCCCTAATGCTGCTAACCACCCTATTACTGCATGTCAATGGGCAAGGAACAGGAAAGCAAGGTGACTCACGTGGGGTCACCCAGCCCACAGCCAACAAGCATGTGCACCCCTTGCCCAAAGACCTCTGCCCCCTCCCCCCAACCCACATGCTGTCCTTGGCAAAGGCGGGTTCAGTGGATCATAAAGAAAGTCAGTGTGGCCGCCTCTGAGTGGAATATGATTGCAATCCAGAGGACGGGCCACAAGGCAGAGAGGCAAGTCTCAGGGCACAGGCCCCTGTGAAGGAAATGGATTGCTTCCCCAATTACTGAATGCTAGAACACATAATGGAAAAATCATATCATTTCTTATAATTCAGGCATATATTTTAATGCCATCAGTTCACCTCACTTAGTCTATGAGGATTTAACAGCCCATGCACCCTCAAATCCCAGGGGGCTGATCCGTATGGCAATGACTGGGGATTGATCAGCCTCGTATCTGCCCAGGGTCCCTTCTTCAGCATAAGATCAGGTGCATTTCAGGTGACCCAGAGATGCAGGGCAGCAAGCAGCATTCTCAGCAGGGACATTATTGATTACGGGCAGTGCAGAAACTGCCCCAACATCCCCTTCCGGTAGCAATTACTGGATGGCCTAATGTCCTAATGGACTTGGACATGAGTGGGAGCATTGTTTTCTTGGGATTTAAACCAAGCTAATGCATTTCCATTAGATCAGTGGTTCATCGCCTGGACTACCATTAGAATCACCTGGAGGGTTCTGAAAAACAGTGATGCCTGGGCCTGTCCCGAGTAAGTCTGACTTGATTGGTATGGGGTCCAGGCATGGTGGTGGTGGGGCGGGGCGCCTGTAAATGATAACCCGGTGATTCTGATGTGCAGCCTGGCCTGAGAACACTTGTCCCAGGAGACTGTTTCTCAAATGTCTTGTGCATCAAAATCACATGTAGAGCTGGTTACAACACAGTTCACTGGCCCCACATCCATAGCTTCCGACTCAGTAGGTCTAGGATGGAGCCTGAGAATTAATTTGTATTTAAACAGGTTCTCTGGCGATAATCATGCCACTCGTCCAGGGACCCGACCATGATCTGATAATCATTACATCACATCAGTGGTTCTCAACAGGGGGCAATTTTGCTCCCTGAGGGATATCTGGCAATGTCTGGAGACATTCTGGGCTCTCACAACTGGTGGAGACAGCAGGGGAAAACTTGGGTTTCTATAGTGGGGAGAGACCAGGGATACTTCTAAACATCCCACCATGCATGAGTGCACAGAACAGCCCCCACCGTAAAGAATCCTTTAGTTTAAGACATCGGCCGTGCCAAGGTCCAAGGTCACTCCCCAAAGGGGCAGTCACAGTGCCTACCTTGTAGAGCTGTTGTGAGAATTAAATAAAATAGTGCATATAAAACATGCTGACACCATGCCTGACGCTGGTATGTGCTCAGTAGCACAGCTATTAAGTTGCTGTTACTCCTTTACCGACTAAACAACAACTGCCCCTCTTTCTGCCCCTTACCTGTCCCTGCCTGGATCAGCATTCCGGTGAATGAGAGCTGTTCTGAAGGAAGCCACACGGGGGCGCCCTTGGACACAAGCACATGCCCATTTATGCAAGCTTGTTACAGCAGACATTGGCTGTCCATCCCGCAGCCATTCCCCCGTCTTTCCCTGGAAGGCCGCTGCTCCCTCATCTGATTCAGCGATAGATGCAGTTAATCTAAATCATCCCGGTAATCCAACCCCTTTGCCAGGGACTGGCTTGGGGTGGGAGGCTTCTCGGAAGAAGTTTCCTTGCTCCACCGCCTCCACTACGGTGACCCCCGCCCCCAGGAGGGGAGGCTCCTGGCAACTCTGGCTTGCCGCTCTCACCGGCCCTTCCTGCTGCTGCCCTGCAGAGGGAAGCTCCTTGTCGTTCGGCAGCTCAGTCGCGTCTGACTTTGTGACCCCGTGGACCGCAGCCCACCAAGCTTCCCTGTCCCCCACCATCTCCCAGAGTTTGCTCAAACTCACATCTATCGAGTCAGTGAAACCATCCAACCATCTCATCCACTGTCATCCCCTTCTCCTCCTGCCCTCCATCTTTCCCAGCATCAGGGTCTTTTCCCCTGAATTGGTTCTTTGCATCAGGTGGCCAATGTATGGGCCCAGATGCTAGGAGTCCCTCCGACACTGGCCTAGGGATACGGTGCTTGAATGCAAGACCAGCCCCATCCCTCACAGCCCACCAGCCTCGGTGGCCTCTCCCTCAGAGTTCTGCCCTGCTGTCTGGCTGGAAAGCTCTCTCAGCCTTCTTCACCTGGTTAATCTCCACAGATCACTGACAAGCCTCTCCCTGCTCCCCACCCATCAGGATCACCCCAACATCCTGTTCCACCCACTTCCACAGTCCAAGCTTCTCCTCTGAGCTCGTCTGCATGCTCAGCTGTTCACTGTTCCTCCCTCTGTTAGACTCTGAGCTGCACTGGAGTGGGAGGCGTCCACCTACTTCAGTCCCGTGCTGGGCGCAGAGAAAGTCAGGCCTGGACAGAAGCAGTGGGGTCTCAGGTTAAGACCCAGACAGCCTGAAGCCAGACACACATGAGCTGTTACCTTGCAAACAGGGCGGACCTGCCCTGCCTCCCTGTCCCCATCCAGAGAGCGGGACGGACACCAGCAGCTACCTCAGGGCCGCTGGGAGGCTTCAGCAGGCTAATCGTGGCGAAGAACTTAGACTCGAGCCTGGTCAGTCGTAAATACACGTGTTAGCCAGTGCAGCAGCTGCTGTTGCAGTCATAGGCGTTCAGTATGTGTCCATTAAGGAAAGAAGGAAAGAGAGGGAGAAGGGAGGCTGCAAAGGCTATCTCCATGGCTGAGTTCCAGTGCTTTCTGTCACCCAGGAAAGTGAAAAGTGAAAGTACTACTTGCTCAGTCGTGTCTGACTCCTTGCGACCCCATGGACTGTAGCCTGCCAGGCCCCTCTGTCCGTGGAGTTCTCCAGGCAAGAATCCTGGAGTGGATTGCCATTCCCTGAGCCCACCCTTTGTGCAGCCATCGAGAGGCGAGTCTGTGGCTTTGAGGGTCAACAAGTCCATCTTTAAACATGCAAGTGGTCACTGTGGGGTGGGAGCAGGTCTGTGCCCACACCCTCTTCTCTGCCGGGGTTCTGGGAGGGACATCCCCAGGACAAGGACTCACACGGAAGTCTCTCCCTTGCTCCGAGGCTGGAGACACATATACAACAAGTGCAGGGAACAGGGTGAGGCCAGCTCCTTCCTCTCTGCAAGCCCCTTCCTTCCGGGCACCGTCATCTGCTCCAAGTGGACGCAGGAATCCGAGGGGGTCCCCGCTTCCCAGGCACAGCCAGGCCCTCCCAGGGGCTCCCTGAGCAGCGGGTGGCAGAGTCCCCACGGCACTCCCACAGACCTGCAAGCCGGCAGCCTCCTTTGGGGAAGGAGCACTGGACTTGGGGCCTCAGCGGTTGTCACAGGCACCAGCTCCACTCTCTGGAGTGGAGCGTGACCTTGGCCCCTGACATCCGCTCTCTGGGCTCAGGCTCCCTGACCTGATTCCCTGCGGGCCTTAAAGGAGGTGGCTTAGCACAGTCCCTGCAGGCAGCTGTTAGCTCTCGCTAGCCCTGCAGCTCCCGCTCCTCCTCTGTCTCACGGCAAGTGCTCCGGTCCTGCTCTCGCACACGATCCTCCCTCTCCACAGCGAGCCCTCCTCGAGCGCCTTCCTCCATTCCTTTAGAGTCAGCTGCCACCATAGTGTGCCGGTGACTCTGAAACCCCAAGGCTGGAGCGGCTGAGCACATCACACTGCACGTTTGGTTGCCCCTGAGTCCAGGAACCGGGGCAGGCAGATACATGGCAGGTTATGTTTTGTTCAAGAGCACTCACCCGGAGACAAAGAAGAAGCTGAAATGCAGCCTGCACCTTGCCTACTGGGACCTCCGCATGGGGCTGCCCCCACCCGAAGGAAAGGTTGTGGTGCTTGTTAAGTCGCTCACTCATGTCAGACTCTTGTGATCCCCTGGACCATAGCCCTCCAGGCTCCTCTGTCCATGGGATTCTCCAGGCAAGAATACTGGAGTAGGTTGACATCCCCTTCTCCAGGGGTTCTTCCTGATCCAGGGATTGAACCTGGGTCTCTAGCATTACAGGCAGATTCTTTACCATCTGAGCCACCAGGGAAGCCTGAACTGGAAGGGTATGCTTTCCTGATTCGCACAAATGGGCCAGTGGCAGCCTCACTCACTGCCATCTTTCTGAGCACAGGGTAGGCACTGCACACCCATTTCTTGCACCAAAGGAAGTGAACATTTCAGCATCCCTGCCAAGGGTTCCCCCACCCCCGACCTCTGCTTTCTCTTACAAGCCCACCCTTGCCCTTGGACTTACCCACTGTGCTGATGACCGTGCAGCAGAAAAAGAGTGAGCTGAGGAAGGACCAGTCTGCAGACCTGGTAAACCACTGGGGCTTCACCTTCTGCAGCAGCTTCTCGAGGTCCCGCTTCCGGCCTTCCTCAACTCCAGAGAGACAAGACTGGAGTGAGTGAGAGGGTCCCACCCTCTAAAACATGTTCCACCCAGGTGAAAGGGTGTCTTCCCCCGGGACCATGCCCCCTGCCTTGTGGCCCTCATCAACTCGAGATGGGGGCTCTCGGAGCCCTTTGCTCAGCATCTCTGCAGTTTGGGTCCTGCTCCAGCAGCTGCGGAGATCAGGAGCCCACATAAACCTGTGTGACGAGCACCCGAGAGAGATGCCCACCAGCCTGAGGTCATCGTGGAAGTGCCCTGGGGGCTTTCTGAAGATTCTGAGCCTTGCAAAGGGGCTTACTAACTTCTGCTCTGTCTCTTTTACTGGGGTCTTGAGAACTGAAAGGAAAAGCCTTTCATGAAATGCGAGGAGTTGCATGATTGCAAACCATCCCCACTCCCGGAGACCATTAAGTCTGATTGAGCATGGGGATCAGGCTGGCATCAACTGCCTGAGAATATCTGGGAAGCCTGGGTGGAGGCCAGCTTGGGGACCCTGGTTTCTCAAGGAGGTTCCCAAATGGTTCCCTTGACCCAGCACTCAGGGGGTTTGGGGATCCCAGAAACTGCCTGCCAGCTGGCACTGTTATAAGAGAAGATCACACATCCAGGCACACAGCAGAAAACTCTTATTTTTGTGAAATAGTTCATAATTTTATGAAAGAAAATCCATCCTTATTTGAATGGGCACTGAACTGGGAGTCCAGGCACCTGCAGTCTAGACCCAGTTCTGCCCTTGACTAGTTCCCGTAGCTGTGGACATGAGGCTTCTTTCTGAGCCTCAGTTTCCCCATCAGGGAGGAAGCATGACAAGGTGAAAAGTTCTGGCTTAGGAATCTAAATGCCTCGGCTCCTTTTTCTCATGGGTCACCTTGGGCAAGTTGTTTTACTCCCAGTGCCTCAGTTTCCTGATCTGTAAGAGGGGGACAATTCATACTCATAGGGTTGGTGGGAGGATTGAGTGAGCGCATGAAAAACACTTGGCACAGGGGCTGCACGAACCCAGCGCTTACCAGGCATTTTCTCCAGTGAAAATCAGGGGGTGGGCCAGCTCTGTTCCCCATGGCATTCTGTGCTCAGAATCACCCAGGAAACTTTTGAAAAATAAGATTCCCAGCCCAGCCCTGGAGCTCCTGCTTCAGTGGGTTGGGGAAGAGCCTGGGAATGTGCATTTGAGACAAGCCCCTTTGTGATTCTGATGTGTGGCCAGGTTTGGAAAGCCCTGAACTTGTTGATAGTTTGGATCCAGTGATGGCTCAGTGTCTGATGGCATTTCATGGGTCATCTGAGTAGCCCAGATGCAGAGAGAAGGACCCTCCACCGAGGAAGGACTCTGCCACCTGTGAGCAGCCTCTGGTCCGCCCCCACTGAAGGGACCTCCCGCAGGTCAGAGGAGTGATTAACAGCCTGGCTGAGGACCTGTCGTACCGTGGACCCTGTTATTCCTCTGAACTTTAGAGTCTGTGTTTCCTTTGTCTTTTCTTCACTCTCTATTATTTTATCTTGTTCTTTTGAGTCCATCTTTGCAAGTTTTAGGAGACAGAACAGAATAGAAATAGTGGACAAATACCAGTGAAAAGCGATAAGGATAGACGTACCAAGAGGCTTCACGTCTATTATCTCATCTGCTTCCCACAGGGTCCCTGGGATTTGGTAGACCTGAGACTGTGGGCCTTCTTCTCCCTGGAAGACTGAGACCTAGAGAGGGTCATTACTCTGCCACAGATCACTCAGCGAGCTGGGAGAGCACCCGGCCTGGAACCAGGACTCAAGTTCTTCTCAGGACCCTTCTTATCTCCCCTGAGTCGAACCACACAAAAAAAAAAAGCCTTTGGAAACAAAAAGTAGAAGACCAGAGGGGCAGACTGGGGCCTATCCAATTTGGATGGTTGCTTGAATTCTAGTCCCTGTAAACTGAATCAGGGTAGGGCAGGCAGTTCTGAGGACCAGTCTAGGAATCCCCAACTCCAGATCTGGGCAGCCTAGGAATCCCCAGCTCCAGATCTGGGCAGCCAGCCATGGCACCCCACCTCATCAAATCTCCAGCAATCCGTCCTCCACGGAGCATGCCAGTCTGGGTGGGGCTGGAGCTGAGGCAAAGGGGTGGGAACACCTACTGGGTGCTCAGTGCTTTTCTACTTCCCTTATAACAACCCTGAGAGGCCATCCACTCTTCTCCCCCATTTTACAGAAGGGAAAACTGAGACTCAGAGAGAAGTCACCTGCCTAAGTTTGCCCAGGGATGGGGAGGAGGCAGGCACAGGGCTCCCAGATCAAGCCTCCTCCAAACCCGCTCTTCTGCGGGGGCTGCTTCCAGCAGCAGAGAAAAGGCCTGCCCACCAGGTGAGCCCCTACCTGTGCTGTTACATTTCAGGATGCCACAGAGCTTCTCCAAGAACTCCTCAAACTCCGGGTCCTCCGCCCGCAGGTCCTGGCTGCCCTCGATGGCTGAGAAGACCGCAGCGCCCACCAGTGCGTAGGTCACCAGGGAGCAGAGAAAACAGAGGCGAGGGGAGAGCTTCTCCAGGGCCTCCCAGCAGCACCTCTTCGCTTGGGGAAGCCCCGCAGCCTCCATCCTCCCCGCAGTGGGCAGGACAGGAAATGCTGGAGAGGCTGGAGTCCAGAGGCCGGGAGGAGGTGTGGGGGGGGCGGGGGGCGGGGTGGAGGAAAGCGCCCTGAGAATGGCCTGGCTCCAGCGTTAAGTGGTTGGTGCCAGGGTTTCCACCGCCCCCCGCCGCCGCCCCCGCCCAGGACTCGGGAAGCAGCCAGCACTCCTAGCGTTCAGTTCCTTTCTCGGATAGCGCACCCCCTCCCCGGCCCACCCCTACCCAGTGCCCCAGATTGATGCACCGCGCCAGTGCACACCCAGCAGCCTGGCCAGTCCTGGAGCTGCCCTTCGGGGACTTTGCAAAGACTGTCTGGTGCTTTGGCCTTTCCCATCCGAAGCTGCACTTTTGACTTCCAGGTACCGAATGTGGCTTTTGCTTTTTAGCCAAGTGGTGGTCCTTCCTGGGTATGTGTGGTACCCTGACTCTTGGACAGGTCAAAATAAACGTAATTAGTGTGGCCAGAGCTCCACGGTTTACAAAGGGCCTTCATCCTGTGTGGATCTAATTGTTGGTCCCAATTCTTCGTTCCTCAGTAGCATACCCCCAGCCTCGCGTGGCCTCAGATGGGTAGAGCATACTTCCCAGCTCTTAGGGTTGGACTAAGCCACGTGACTTGCTCCAGCCAATCAAATGTTAGCAGGTGTGATGTAAGCAAGCACCTGAAATGTGAGTGTGAAGTGCAACTTGTTGCTCTGTGCCCTGTCTCTGCTAGAAGGGTAAAAACGTGCCCGGATGGCAGACGTGGAGACGTGTGTGCCTTCAGATCCCCCTGCACGAAAGGATTCTCTGTGCAGCTCCAAGCAGCATGGTTCCTGACAGCCTCCAGCTGTTCGTTCCTCCCAGTTTTGCCTCAGCTTTCAGGCCTTGTTCTCTGGGAAACCCCTGTCCAATGACTGAGCAATGTTGGGGGAACATGAGCTTAACCATTTCTGTCACCTGCCAAACTCCTCCAACCTGAAATCTTTGCTCTCCGTTGGTCTACCAGAGATTTTGTCAAGTTTGCATTGTGATCTCAAGGCTCCCCTTGTCCCATCCTGCTTCCTCCCTTCTCCCTTACTTCCTAATAAATAGAGCTTTTGCATATTGTGTTGTTGTCCAGTCGCTAAGTCATGTCCGACTCCTTGAAGCCCCATGGACTGCAGCACACTAGGCTTTCATGTCTTTCACTATCTCCTGGAGTTTGCTCAAACTCATGTCCATTGTCAGTGATGTCATCATCTCATCCTCTGTCATCCCCTTCTCCTCCTGCCCTCAATCTTGCCCAGCCTCAGGGTCTTTTCTAATGAGTCAGCTCTTCGCATCCGGTGGCCAAAGTATTGGAGCTTCAGCATCAGTCCTTCTAATGAATATGCAGGGTTGATCCTCCTCCCTTCTCCTTTACTTGCTAATGAATAGAGCTTTTGCATGCCTTACTCTATCTGTGTCTGCTTCACAAGGGATACAGTCTGCAGTAGCGGGCACTGGGGGTAATCTGAGAGAGCAGGATGGCTCAATACCCATTGGTAAGGAGATGGTGTGCAGAAAGTTCTTGGCTCAAGATCGCCATGCAATTGTTCAGCTTTTGTCAGTGGTGACCTGGGATGGTGTACAAATGCAACAACCCAGGCATTTTAAAACATAGGGGAAGGATGATAAATATAAGGATAAGTTGGGTTTCCCTGGTGGCTCAGACAGTAAAAAATCTGCCTACAATGTGGGAGACCCAAGTTCGATCTCTGGATCAGAAAGATACCCTGGAGAAGGGAATGGCAGCCCACTCCAGTATTTTGCCTGGAGAATTCCATGGATAAAGGAGCCAGGTGGGCTACAGTCCATGTGGTCACAAAGAATTGGACATGACTAAGCAACTAAGGCTACTACTAAGTTCAGATAGTTACTGGGAAGTTCCATTGGTCCCCCAAAGGCAAACCTAGAGAGGGAGGTTAGTAGGACAAAGCACAGCCTCCGCCGTGGTTGGACTCAGGACAGCAACTGATATTTGTAGCCTCCTTATTTCACTATTCATTCTAAATTCTCCTTGCCCTCTGCCACCTCTTTTGCTGCTTTCAGTGGATTTCCCAATGGCATGATCCAAATCCTCGTTCCTGAAAGGTTTGAGCCTTTCCAGGTCAGACTTGCTTGTGTTTGTCCATTCACAGACATGGATACGAAGTGGATCCCCCCCACCCCCGTTACTACCCATATTCTCCCTGCCCCTGCAGTGTGAACACCTTCACATCAGGTATTATGATTCCTCCTACCTTCTTCTTCTTTTTCAAGATTGTTTTAGCTATTTTAAGGCCTTTCTACTTCAAAGGCATACTGTATAACACAAGGAGCAATACTCAATATCTTGTAATAACCTACAAGAGAAAAGAATCTGAAAAAAAAAATATATATATATATAGCTGAATCATCTTGCTGTACATGTGAACATAACACAAAATTGTAAATCAACTTATACTTCAATTTTTTAAATTAGAATATCCTTTTTATTTATGTATTTATTTTTGGCCGTGCTGGGTCTTCACTGCTGCGTGGACTTTTCTCTAGCTGTGGGGAGCAGAGGCTACCCTTCATTGCAGTGGCTTCTCTTGTTGTGGGCTCTGGAGCACAGACTCAGTAGTTGTGGTGTATAGGCTTAGTTGCTCTTTGGCATGTGGGATCTTTCCAGACCAGGGATCAAATCCGTGTCTTCTCCACTGGCAGGCAGATTCTTTACCACTGAGCCACCACGGAGGCCCCATACTTCAATTTAAAAAGAAGGCAAAAAAGGCCCTTCTATGTAAGTTTTCAAATTATCTTACCTATGTCTATAGAAAACCTCACTGGGATTTTGATAGCAATTGCATAAGCCCATAGAACAATGTGGGGAGACTTGACACCAAACTCTGTCAAATCCCCCAGTCCTTTAACACAGTATGTCATTCCTGGCCATTGCTTTTGAATACTGCCTTAGGGTGCTCCCATCATTCTTGACTCAAGTCAGGAATCAACGTCTTAAGATGAGAATGCATAAGTCGTTTGTTATTTATTATGTGGTGCATTCTGAGTGCTATTTAATGTGTTTGGGGGCAATGTTAATGGTTGAAAATGTTAGATGGCAGAGGTCAAAAAGTGTATTTGTACTCCTCTTTGTAAGTCTTTCCCGAAGACATAGTCCAAAGGTCTAGAACAGTGTAGAGGATAACAGAGCCTGTGTGTTCATCATCCTTCGTGATGAGTATCACGATGCTGTGTGCCTTCTAGAGGTAGACAGACTGCTGGCTAGAGAAGGACCCTGGGATCGGCCCCAAACTGACAACAAGTGAGCTCTGGCTCATTGGCCAGCCCCAGCCCCATCCCAAGGTGCAGCCAACAACACACTGGCCATTGTGTGTTCTCCTACCACAGGCTGCCCTGGAGAGAAACGTGGCCTCAGGGTTCTCTCCCTGTGTGTGTGTCTCTGTTTGCATGAGTCTATTTCTCACTCTTTTTTTTTTTTCTGTTTTCTGTTTTGGTTTCTTGGTGGAGAGGCATGCAGGACCTTAGCCCCCCGACCAGGGATCGAACCTGCACCCCCTGCATTGGAAGGTAAAATCTTAACCACTGAATCACCAGGGAAATCCTGATTTCTCACTCTTAAGAAGGGATGAGCAATCAGGGACTGTGCTTCTCAATCACAAAGAACCCACCAGTTCTTATAGAAATAATGAGAAGCCGATTACACTTCTACATTAAACATGGCACTGGTCCCTAAAATCAAATTGCTATGTTACAATCAACTTGTAAGGCTTTGGCATGGAAATAGGGACATGTGACCTGCAGTCCACATTGCAGGGCATATGGGAAAAGAATGATTCCTTCAGAAGTCATAGGCCCAGAGAGGAAATTAAACCTTAAGGACATCATTGACCAAACTCCTGCCTGGAGTCCACTATTCCCTTCTTGGCCATCACCCTATGTCCTAGATGGGAATAAAGGCGAAGTTGCTTTAATGAGAGGACCAAAAATATATATATAGTGGCTTAAAAGAAATGGACGTATACTGACCTCTTACATAACAATCTGGAAGCAGGAGCTCCTTGTTGCTGGAGCAGCTCCGCTTCATCCCGTTGATCTCAAGTGGCCTTGGCCTGCAGCAGCTTAAAGCAGGATTTCAGTTCCCGGACAGAGGCTGAAGTTAGGCTGAGGCAGTGAGAGCTCTGAATCCCAGCCACAGACCAGTGACCAGTGACAAGGCCCTGGCCTGACAGCTTTGTAGAAATAAATTTCCACATAGAGAAAGTCATGAGACAAGTTAAATGTTTATTAGGAGGGAAAGGAATACATGTGGATAGATACACGGGTGGCCTCGGAGAGAGAGTTGTGTCCATGTGGTAGTTTGAATCACTTACATGGGGCATTTCTTCCCAGTTTCCTTTGGCCAATTATCTTGCTTTGCCTGGTTCTGAGCTTGTTCTTAATTTATCTCAGGGTCCTCCCATGTGTACGTGTGTATGTCTTGGCCAAGATGGATTTTAGTGAAGAGGCCCATGGGCAGGTTGATATCACTTACTGTGAGGTGACACCCTCTCCCTTTTGATCCCCAAGGAGCCTTTCTGCACAGATGTAGTTGGGAAGGTTTCCATGACCTTGAGAATGAGAGAAATGTGGTCTCTTATCTGGGCAGGGCTCACCCAGCTCCTCCTCTTCATCTTGGAGTAACAGTCCACAGGGGACAAACTCCAGCTGCTCAGGCTGGGGCACATCTATCTCCTGCCTCACGGTCATTAAGCACCAGAGTCTTTCCATCTTGTTGCCCCATCATATCCTAAGGCAGTCGTTTTCAAAATGTGGCCCTTAGACAAGCGGTATGACCATTGTTTGGGGACTTATAGGCAATGGAAGTTCTTGAGCCCCATCCCAGACCTACTGAATTCAGAACTCTGGGGGTGGAACCCAGCATTGTGATCAAGCCCCTCAAGTGATGCTAAAGCACATTAAAGTTTGAGAAGCACTGCCCTAA